CACCCAGCTGTGGTGGGTACCTAACTAACGTAAGGGAAACAAAGGCCGTTGGGCATACTGCTGACCACACTATCATTTTATATGCCGAGGTCTCTGAAGTAGATAAACTCTACAGCTTCTGCCCCCCCCCCGTGTGTCTTGGGTACGAACGGCAAAAAGATTAAAAAAAATAACTTAAAACCTTAATGAAACTAAAAACAAAATGTATTGGGCATTTTATTAAAAATTATGACTAAATTAAATATGTTAAGGTATTTATTAGATTTGGTGCGTTTTATATATTAGTAAATTTTGATATGCAAGCTTTATTTACACTTTAATAGATGAAACTTGAGATTAAATTTCTTTTTGTTTAAATAACGTTTTACGACTCTTTTTCTCCCATTTTTATTCAAACGTCAAAAACATTAGGGAATTCGAGACACGTAAATATGCTCGCCCTTGACTTGTTTTATTATCAGATAAAAGGGTTATGAATTATAGTTATTATATTTGAAGCGCATGCAACATTTGGAAGTGACAGAAAAAACATGTGTAAGCTCTAAAGGTAGCATAGAAGAGATTTCTTATTCACATTCAACTATAATTTGTTTCATTTAGATGCGTCCCAGAATTCAGATAAGGGTTGTTGGAGAACAAATGAAATATTTGGAAGAACAAATGCAATTGATGGAGCCTGTTATAGGCTTGATGAAAAATGTGAGCGATTATTCAATATTCAGTGATACATTATGTTAAAGTCTTTTCGGGTATAAGCATGTAGCTAGTAGTAAGTTACGTTTAGCAGTCACATAGTTTCGACTAATGTAACATGTTTTATGTCATCAGGCGATAGAAAATAGTAAGACGTGGATAGAAGATATAAATGACAACCCGTCTATCACATACATAGAGCTTTGCCAAGAACTTGCATCAGCGACCACGACCTTGTTGGATGTAGCTTCAAACATTTTAGGTAAACATAGAATACAATAAGTCTGTTTAAATTATGTTATCAGTTATGAACTAAAGCAGTAGTTTAAGGCGATGATTCCCATACCATCCCTAGATAAAGATACCATTTTATTTAATTTTCCAGCATACAACATGAGATTATATACTATATTTTTCCAACTATTTAATACAGGCTACAAAGCTCGAAAAATATTTTATCGACGTAACTCGTTTCGTGTTGTATGTCCACAGAATATCAATTGTTGTTTAAAAAGAGGGAAAATTATAATTTAATACAACTTATTATGTATACTTTTACCAAAAGGCGAAAATAAAGAGTATGTAGATAGTAGAACGCCATCTTTATCTCAGTCTACACTAGAGCTTACAGCAACAGTGAAACGTCCCCAAAGTGAATCAATAAGTCAAGTCAATAAACTAGTTGAAAATCCAGAAGGTATAAAATATTGTGTTTTTGATTAGTTAATAAGTTTAAAACAGAATAATAAATGTGCAAAAACTACACATATTCTACTGTATTTAAAATATTTTTATTACATTATTTGTTATGCATCACAGAAATATTCACTCGACTGGGTCTTCTAGAAAACAGCATTGATTATTTACAAGGCACAACAAAAAAATATAAAGATGACATATCAGAAATAAAACAATGGAGAGACAACTTTGTAACAGAACAGAGTGAGATAGGGGTAAACATTGAACAACTGACTAAAAAACAAAAACAGAATTTTAAAAACCTCAGAAAACAAATTAATGAACAAGATAACAAAGTAAAGGAGCTGAACAAAGAAATTGAAAATTTAAAAGAAAAAGAATCCAACGCAAAAGAAACACTAGAGAAACTGTCTCTAGATATGAAAGGATATGAAAAGAACTTACACAAAATAAATAAAGAGTTTCAAGATTACACAGACAAAATAGACAGTATAACACAAGAAATTAATAGACATTCGGATCTAATGGCTGCCCTACAAGAGGAGTGTAATAAAATCTTGTGTAATACATCAACTCAATTAGAAAAGGTAAAGCTGCTAATTATGTGTATTCACAATTTTTCAGAATACTCGCCAGATAGCTTATTATATGCAGGTTAAATAAAAAACAACTTAGTAACTTTATCAGCAGTTATACTTTAATATAATAATAATAATATATGTTTATGTTAGATATAATATGCATTAAAAATAATCAAAATTATAATGCTTCTGATAACAGCAAAATGTATTGTACAAGCTTCTACAACAGAGATTGATGCCGATTGACAAACTGATTCAAATCTTTAACCAGAACTTGGAAACTAGGGAAGAAAGAATTACGAAGGTAAACGTGTAGTAATTTTATTAAAAATTAAATTTCAACGTTGATAAATCCGGCCTAAATTATTAACAATTTGTCAATAGAGCAGTTAATACATGTTTTCTTAAATTAAATGATACATCTGTAATTTAAAAAAATAACACATACTTTAAATTATTTCATATTCTTACAAGTTGCCATAACCAGTTAACATCAATGCAGCTATCGTATGCTTCACGTAACTATGAGATTTTTGCACTCATTTTATAAAATCTTTTTTTTAGATTGAAACTATTAAAGCTACTATTTCAGTGTTGTCCAAAGATTTGAATCTATTAGGTAGGTTTGCTTGAATTTTTTTTCAAAAAAAATTACGTGATGTTCGTTAGCCAGACAGACCATCACGTGATGTTCGTTAGCCAGAAAGAACATAACGTGATGTTCGTAAGCCAGACAGACCATAACGTGATGTTCGTTAGCCGGACAGAACATAACGTGATGTTCGTTAGCTAGACAGACCATATCGTGATGTTCGTTAGCCAAACAGATCATATCGTGATGTTGGTTAGCCAGATCATGACATGATGTTCGTTAGCCAGATAGATCATAACGTTATGTTCGTTAGCCAGACAAATCATAACGTGATGTTCGGTAGCCAGACAGACCATCACGTGATGTTCGTTAGCCAGATCATGACATGATGTTCGTTAGCCAGATAGATCATAACGTTATGTTCGTTAGCCAGACAGACCATCACGTGATGTTCGTTATCCAGACAGACCATAACGTGATATTCGTTAGCCAGACAGACCATAACGTGATGTTCGTTAGCCAGACAGACCATAACGTGATGTTAGTTAGCCAGACATACCAAAACGTGATGTTCGTTAGCCAGACCATAACATGATGTTCGTTAGCCAGATAGATCAAAACGTGATTTTCGTTAGCCAGACAGACCATAACGTGATGTGCGTTAACCAGACAGACCATAACGTGATGATCGGTAGCCATACAGACCATAACGTGATATTCGTTAGCCAGACCATAACATGATGTTCGTTAACCAGATAGATCATATCATTATGTTCGTTAGCCAGACAGACCATAACGTGATTTTCGTTAGCCAGACAGACCATAACGTGATGTTCGTTAGCCAGACAGACCATAACGTGATGTTCGTTAGCCAGACAGACCATAACGTGATGTTCGTTAGCCATACAGACCATAACGTGATGTTCGTTAGCAAGACAGACCATAACGTGTTGTTCGTTAGCCAGACAGACCATAACGTGATGTTCGTTAGCCAGACAGACCATAGCGTGATGTTCGTTAGCCAGACAGACCATAACGTGATGTTCGTTAGCCAGAAAGACCATAACGTGATGTTCGTTAGCCAGACAGACCATAACATGAAAAAGAAATTCACTCACCCATAGTGCCAGTCTCTAGACCCGTGGGTTTCCGTCAGGTGTTTTTTTCCTCACCTGGTACATTACACCACCTGGTATGTCTAGGGTCTACCTACAGCCGTCTTATGTGGGGTCTTATGCAAACCGTGAATTAAATCCAAAATAAAATGATAACTTGAAAACATTAATATCGGTCTCGTTGATTAACATCTTAATATCTAAATATTCTACTGTAACATGAATTCAACAATGTTAAAGGTTAATTGTGCTAATTTTGCCATCGGGTTTATTGCGTTTTTACAAGTTTAACAAAATAAGCCTTATATAAACTATAATGTGAACACATACGGACTGGGTGATTATGACATACGTATATAATATTTATTGTGCTTTTAGTGACCTATTACGTCAACTACTACACTCGTAGTTTTATACGTAGGACACGATAAACTAACACCACTACAACTGAGGACCGTACTAAACTAGTGGTCTAGTGTTTCAGTTTGTGGTTTTAGACAAAATCATGTAAACATTTTGGATTATAATACACAATTTATTACTTTCTCGTATAGAGAAAATCTTGTAATCGTGCAAAAAAAAAATAGAGATTTTTACAAATCTCGACGTTTTACACCTCACCGATACGGAAAAACATAATTTTGCAATCTTGTCCGTATGTCTGTGTGTATGTCTGTCTGTCTGTGTGTAAACACGATAACTTGAGTACCGTTACAGCTAGGTTGATGAAATTTCATATATAAGTATTTTATCAAAATCGTAGATCCTGATCAACTTTTGAGCGATTTCCGATAACAGGAAGTGGTACTTTTTCTACTTTGAATTTTTCAAAAGCCTATAACTTAAGTACAATTTCAGATAGATAAATGAAATTGCAAATGTAAGTACAAGATCTAATCCGCTGCCTTCTCTCAAATTTTGAGTAATTTTCGTTGACCGGAAGTACTAATTTACGCTATTTTCGATTTCTCAAAACACCCGCATGTAAATTTATAAAGTACTTTTTTCTATAAGATTCTATTCTATTTTTAAAAGTTTAAGTAATTAAAAATCATGTCTATATTTCAAGTTATATAAAAATATTCGAGAAAGTTTAGGGGAGATCACTCCCGGTTTTTTTTTGTGTTAAAAATTGTTTGATTTTGGTTTGTCATTTTTACCTACATTCTGAACTACACACAAAACATATGTAAAGAGTTTATGTATAGGGTTACTATCATAAAACTAATAATACGACAATTCACAAATATTATTGATAAAATAGTCAGAGCATGTGTGAAATTAAACATGTAAAACATACATATGTTTTCTAATCAACAGAGTCACGTGTATGTAACAGATATGCTTGTCAGGTACAGCTTGCTGGTCGCACACCTGTCAGTGCTGGATCAATTATTTCAACATTTAAAGAAGTACGTGAATATAACGGCCAAAACTTTAATCAAACAACAGGAAAATTTGTATCACCACATGATAGTTTATATCTTGTATGTGTAACTCTAAATACATGGGGAGATGGACTGATTAAAGTTGGTGTTTCGGCTGGAGAAAGAGGGTGTGCGACTTTAGAAGTGAAATGTGCCGACACTAACGCTGCTGGGTCAGTGGTTGTTGACATGAAGAAAGGTCAAGAACTTTACTTTAAAGTGATTCAAGCAAATCAAGGCGCAACTTTGTCCAACTACAGTAGTTTTACTATCGTTAGTTTATAGCAGTACAACACAAAACATGGTGGGTGGTAAATTCTCAAAACAATAAATTATGTAACCACAATGTTAAACAAACGCTAAAAACTTACTATGTTTGGAAGCTACATGTGTACAAAAACTAATGATTTCATGTTATTTGTTTAGCTGTCAGTACACATTTCAAACTGATTTTATGCAATCGCCATATTAATATGTTCTACTTGACTACAATAAACAAATACGATAACTATTGTACATACATTTTAACGCTTCTGTAAGAGAGCTTTACGTAAACCATTTAATTTGTATGCGTTTCTTGTGTAAAAAATACAACATATTTTTTTGTATTAAATATGAAATTGAAACCTGCATTTTTATTTTTGAGACACATATAATGAACTATTTCAAAAATGAATGTTTAAATAAGTTCACTGGACAACAATATGTGCCTGATAATTTAAAATAATAATTTTATGTTATGCATTTGTAAATAGTTGAAATATGATTAAAAGGTAAAAAAAAAATAATACATTATAGCTTTTCTCGATTGTGTTTTTATTCAGTAACATTGTATTTGTAAATGAACACCTAACCTAACACACACACACACCGACACACACCCCACTACACATACACAAATAATCCATTCCTATATATATATATATATATATATATATATATATATATATATATATATATATATATATATATATATATATATATATATATATATATATTACATATATACATGCATGAGAAAATAGAGTTATTTGAATATATATGCCTATCTTATATATATATATATATATATATATATATATATATATATATATATATATATATATATATATATATATATATACATATATATATATATATATATATATATATACATATATATATATATATATATATATATATATATATATATATATATATATATATATATATATATATATATATATATATATAAATATATACATATATATATATATATATATATATATATATATATATATATATATATATATATATATATATATATATATATGAGTATATACAAAGTATGCATACCGGACATATTACCTTGTTATGCAGGGACATAACTTAGTTACGTTCTCCCTAACATAACCGCTAATCAACTTAAGCTAAATCTTCACACAGTCCATTGCCTATCTAAATTATACATACCTCATCGCCAGTGCTACACAGGCTTAACAAACGTAAGAAATAGATTTCTGGTAGAAAGTAACATCGCATATAACCTTTGCATCGGGTTATTGAAATAGTGCGCATTATAAAATGTTAGACTATTTGAACATACAGAGTAATAGTGGGGTGTCTGAGTTGGATTAATGATAAGTAATGATTAGTTAATTCAGTTGGCTTAGAGTTTAGAAGATGAGGTAATGTCTACGCTTATTTAAAAACCGCTACACTCAAGTAGGCCTATGTTTTTATACATTTCAAGTTTTTAAAGAGATTTTCTACACGAAAGCTAACGATGACAGCTTACATGAAGTTACACATTACACATTATATCTTGTGACGGTTAAGAAAACATTTATATCTTTACCTTACCATTAGTGAGATAACCCTACTCCACAAGACAGAGAATGGCATTTACCTCACTTTAACTGGCTGAAATGTCCTACAACTATATATTTAACTGAGCTTGGTATATATTTCTCTCTCCCTGATATGCACACTAGCCCCTTGTATTGCATTAGTCTCATGAGAACTAATTTTAAGTTTAAGCCTAATCAGTCGCTTAATGTTCATTAAACAGGCATACATCAGCGTAATAAATGAAGTGGTTTCATCAGGTCATGCGTAAGAGATCAGATGTTGTATGTGAGAACCATCAACCCGCGTATTTACTAAGTCTATGTGTCTGAACAACTTTCTAATACGTGTGCAATTGTTTATTAGATTTCCAGGTTTGTAATTGTAAAGTCAACATGAATGACGTCTGCCCAAACGTCTTTGTGAGCTAAACCAGGACTTGTGTGTGATGTTGTTGATTTCCTCACTTGTAAATACAAGTACTCACACGTATGATCGCACGAATGTACAAACACACATACACACACACACAGGAACACATACGTACAAGCATACGTATTCGTGCACTCGAAAACATCGATTGCACGCTGCTAAAGGATTTCAGGTATAAACGTTCTTGAAAACAGCTCAGCACTAGTAAATGTGCTAACATTTTGAGGCATCTTACATTTTCATGCGTAAACATGGTACTGATATGTTTAGATTTCGGCTTGTGTGTTTTATGGGGTAAGCTACAATAACTTCTATTTAATAACCGATAACATCAAACTTTATACATTTACAAGCATGTATTAAACACGACTTTTTTCCGAACATACACTGTTTGTTGTAGGATATGGCACGCATAACCAAAAGACTGATGAAAAATAAACGAAAATAGTGATATAACGATACCAACCTATTTATTAATAATCCTTCATGTGCAGAAAAAAAATATTTTAACAACAGGAATTGTATAATTTCAATAATTTTACACCACAAAATGAAATAATATATAGACTTTGCTACGATTAGCCTTCGATATATTATGTTCAGTCTTCTGAAATGATGTTGGCTACATGTCATCTATTGTCTGATGAAGTAAGGTACATGTCATCTATTGTCTGGTGAAGTGAGGTATATGTCATCTACTGCCTGGTGAAGCGAGGTACATGTCATAAAATGTCTGCTATAGTATATTATATGTCATCTATTGTCAGGCGAAGTAAAGTACATGTCATTAAGTGACTGCTGAAGTTATGTACATGTCATCTAAGGTCTAGTGAATTGAAATATATGTCATTCATTCTGGAGTAAGGTGAGGTAAATGTCAGCTATGGTCTCTTGAAATGAAGTACATGAGAGAAATAAAGTTTAACTACAAATAAAACAGTAGGTGTATGTTTTAAAATATATTTCACGATATAGGCCCAACACATTTTGCGTTAAAAGCTGCAAGACTTGAATTGATAAAAATAAATGGAAAGTTGTTTACAAAGTAGCGTTTCGAGATATTTCAAACTCTTAGATTATTGTATTTATTACGTCCCTTATTTATGTGTTTTGTTGATGTTTTCTTTGAACCCACTAGGATCATTTAAAACTATTAGTTTAGTACCGCTCCCGTCAAAACTCTGTACACAACTAAATAACAAATCTCCATATTGTTTTAAACGACTGTAAATTAAAGTATGAAAAACGCAGCAAAAAACTCTACGAAAGTGGCAGTCACAAAAACTAAACGAAATAAATGTTTAATTATTAAGTAGCGGTATATTCTACTATGTTTAGTGAATTTTAATAAAGTTGTATCATGTTTAGAGATAAAGTGTAGCATTAAAAGTAAAAGTACTAAGTGCATTAAAGTGATCCAAATTTTTGCCTAAAAGTCAAAATAGTAAATGCATCCCTTTAGTAAGCTCAAGTCGGCTTGTATCCAATAACAATACTTTAGTAAAACCAGTTTATTGCTTTACATTTGTTTTAATGTTTTAATATTTTTATACAACATGTGTTTTTTACTGTACATATTGTATTTGTTTTTTTCCAGATTTTTGTGGACTACTTCTAGTGAAACTGATACAGCCTAACGGGAAATCCCGATATTATCTCTGCTAACACATAGGAATTCTGTCTAGAAATCAACAGGAAATTGTTATATTTACTGTTTGAAAATTAAGTTTTAACAAAATTTATACATTTTTTTGTGTGCATTGTAAGTATTATTTTAAATATAATTTGCGTGATATGAATATTTGAGTCGCAGTTTATTTAATTCACACAAAAAACAACAATAATAATGCTTCGAGTCTAAATGCAGATCTCTTACTCACCAAAAAAAAGACACTACATACATATTAACTGTATAAACAATTAAAATGACCATCAGACCGACAGATCTGGTACTTCATTAGCACATTAAGTTTATCAACTCAATCTGTATAATTTTATTTCGACACTCTCCTATTTTGGTTTGTTTAACTAAATATTTTATTAACTAGTGAATAATTTAGAACTACAAGCAGGACGTTTTTATTTAGAACTCTAAACTATTTGTCTATGTCTGTTGATCTACAGCGATATAATAAAATAACAAATGTAATATTTTTTACTAAAATGTGTACAGGGGAAGTCATATGACAAAATTGGAGTATATTAAAAGAAATAATTTATATATATATATATATATATATATATATATATATATATATATATATATATATATATATATATATATATATATATATATATACATATATATATACCTTAAATAATATAACGTGCTATTAGTTAACAGATCTAAAAAAGAAATATAACAATATTTAAAGTAGTTTTCGTTTAATATTGGATTGCCAGTTATAGTTTAATAATGTATGACAAAAACTTGGATTTTATTTCATTGTTATAATTAACTCTTTATTTACTGAATTAATTATTGGATGAAATATTTTTTTCTTAAACAATAAATTTTTATATTACACTTGGTACACTAAAATTATTCTTGACTCAAGGAAGATTATAAATATATAAATGATTATAAAGATTCACCTTAAATTAAAATAATTTAAGAGCCAGGCTTATTTATGGAACCGTCAGTAGATAAAAGGTTGCACTTGAAATTTCGGGGGGCGGGGGGAGGCGGGCGAACTAAAATTTACGGGCGGGGGGGGGAATACTGTTAAAAGTATATATTTTCAATATTTATTTACCGGGGCGGTAGATTATCTTCGATGGGGGGGGGGGGGGTACCTTGAAGAAACATTTCTTCTTAGCTCTTAATTTTTAGTGGTGGCGGGGATCGAGCCTTATCTGCCAGAAGAAACACTGCTTTAGTTTTGCTTAGTGATGATGACAGAGTAAACATATTTTTTTTTAAAATTTAGTGTTATTAACATTTAGATGCCTTCAAGAATTCACGGCAAGTTTGTTACAGAGCGCAAGAAATATTTGGAAGAACAGATACAAGTTCTGGAACCTGTTTTGGGAAATATGAAAAATGTAAGTCATTACAAACTAAAAATATTCTTCGTAATACTTAAAATGTAAAAATCATTTTACTCACGATAAAGTATTTTTCGAAGTGCATGTGTTAAAAAACACAGAACAACAACACGTCTTTAGGAATATAGCACTTCAACACGTGACCAATTGACAATATTGTTGTTGTTTGCTTTAACCAGGTTGTTGCAAAAAGTAAGGCGTGGCTAGAAGAAAAAACTGACCAATCATCTGTCAGCTACATCGAGCTATCACAAGAACTGGACACAGCAGCCACGGCCTTGTTGGATGTGACGTCATATATTTTAAGTCAGTACTTTAATAGATTTATAATTTAAAATCTCAAAGTCTATAGTCGTGTAGCCGCCTGCGTTTTTAGTTTTAGTATTGACTCATTTCTATTGAGAAAATGAAACGGAATTGTTATACAGTTTACAGATATTGCAAATACTGTGTTAAAGGGATATATTACACTTCACTGTGAACGAACAACCATACCAGTTTCCGCTTATTAATTTATATAAAATCGACATCACATTAGTGAATCTTGTAAATCCTTATATTTAAAAAAATGAAGAATTTACAATCACACTGTGTAACCTTATTCGCCTTAAAACAAGTTTCTAGAACCTTACGATTTTATAGAAGGTTAAAATTAAAAAAAATACTTTTGATAATGTATTCGAATAATAGTCATGTAAAATGTATTAAAACGGAACAGCATGTACAATATATAGATTTCGGACATTTTGGAACTATTTGTGTTTGTTTACATTTGGATCATATTCAAAGTTTTTTTTCATTAGAATATTACGTGGTTTGCGTTAGAGTTTTAACTAGCTAAATAGTAAAACGTATTATATGTACAATAAAATAACTCATACCACAAGTTCAACATACAGCGGGTATATTATAGTATGATTTTGGTAAAACACATTGAATAGCTGCATGATATACTATATAGATTTTAAAAATATGTATATGTATTATATTTTTAAACCAAAGTACGTTTGATGCTTTTGTTTAAATTCGTTTTTAAAAAACATATTTTTCAAGATTTCGGACACTTAAAATAATAAAATTATATCTGCGACTATTCTCAGTTGAAGAACATCCTGACCTAGAGCGTAGACTCGCCTATATTGAAACAACACTATCTTCACTACAGGACACATAACATAAGTCTACAGATGACATATCAGAATTAAAACAATGGAGAGACAACTTTGTAACAGAACAGAGTGACAATTGGGTAAACATTGAACAACTGACTAAAAAACAAAAAAAAAAATTTAAAAATTTTAGAAAACAAATGAGTGAACAAGATAACAAAGTAAAGGAGCTGAACAAAGAAATTGAAAGTTTAAAAGAAAAAGAATCCAAGTCAAACAAAACACTAGAGAAACTGTCTCTAGATATGAAAGAATATGAAAACAACTTCCACAAAATAAATAAAGAGATGAAAGATCACGCAGATAAAACTGAGAGTATAACACAAGAGATTAAAAGACATTCTGATCAGATGTGTACCCTACAAGAAGAGAGTTATAAAATCAAGCTTAATACATCAACTCAAATAGAAAAGGTAAAAGTGATCCGTTAACACAATCTTACACATACTGGCCAGATAACTAATTTCACATTTTATAACCTGGTTAAATTAAAACACAACTAAGTAACTTTATCAACAGTTATACCTGTAATATTATTACTAATTTTAAGACACATGTTTTCGTTAGTTATAATGTGCAGTAAAAATAATTAAAGTTCCATTTTCTGCTCTTTAGCACAATTTGATGTACAAACTCCTGCAACAAAGGTTGATGCCTATTGACAAGCTGGTTCAAATCTTTAACCAGAACTTGGAAACAAGGGAAAAAAGAATAACAAAGGTATATGTTTAGTTATTTGATAAAATACAAATTATGACGTTGATAATTGTGCATTAATTAGTAACACTTTGTTAATAGACCAGTTAATAACATGTTTTCTAAATTAAGCAAAACGTTAAAAAAAAGTATAATTATAAAATAATCCATGTTTTAAATTATGTTCTATTCTTACAAGCTGCCATACCCTATTAAAATCAGTGCATCAATTTAATGTTCTACGTAACTATGGGATATTTTCAATCATTTTATAAAATCTTTTTAGCTGGAAAATATTGAAGATACTATTTCAAAATTGTCCAAAGATTTGAATCTAATAGGTAAGTTTGTCATAATTTTTTTATACCAAATTATACAGCCAGACAGATAATAACGTGATGTTCGTTAGCCAGACAGACCATAACGTGATGTTCGTTAGCCAGACAGACCATAACGTGATGTTCGTTAGCCAGACAGACCATAACGTGATGTTCGTTAGCCAGACAGACCATAACGTGATGTTCGTTAGTCAGACAGACCATAACGTGATGTTCGTTAGCCAGACAGACTACAGCGTGATGTTCGTTAGCCAGACCATAACGTGATGTTCGTTAGCCAGACAGACCATAACGTGATGTTCGTTAGCCAGACAGACTATAGCGTGATGTTCGTTAGCCAGACCATAACGTGATGTTCGTTAGCCAGACAGACCATAACGTGATGTTCGTTAGCCAGACAGACCATAACGTGATGTTCGTTAGCCAAACAGACCATAACGTGATGTTCGTTAGCCAGACAGACCATAACGTGATGTTCGTTAGCCAGACCATAACGTGATGTTCGTTAGACAGACAGACCATAACGTGATGTTCGTTAGCCAGACAGACCATAACGTGATGTTCGTTAGCCAGACAGACCATAACGTTTAATTCGTTAGCCAGACAGACCATAACGTGATGTTCGTTAGCCAGACAGACCATAACGTGATGTTCGTTAGCCAGACAGACCATATTGTGATGTTCGTTAGCCAGACAGACCATAACGTGATGTTCGTTAGCCAGACAGACCATAACGTGATGTTCGTTAGCCAGACAGACCATAACGTGATGTTCGTTAGCCAGACAGACCATAACGTGATGTTCGTTAGCCAGACAGACCATAACGTGATCAAGAATGGAACATTTCACTCACCCATAGTGCCAGTCTCTAGACCCGTGGGTTTCCGTCAGGTGTTTGTTTCCTCACCTGGTACTTTACACCACCTGGTACATTACACCACCTGGTACATTACACCACCTGGTACATTACACCACCTTGTACATTACACCACCTGGTACATTACACCACCTGGTACATTACACCACCTGGTACATTACACCACCTGGTACATTACATCACCTGGTACATTACTCCACCTGGTACATTACATCACCTGGTACATTACACCACCTGGTACATTACACCACCTGGTACATTACATCACCTGGTACATTACACCACCTGGTACATTACACCACCTGGTACATTACACCACCTGGTACATTACACCACCTGGTACATTACACCACCTGGTACATTACACCACCTGGTACATTACACCACCTGGTACATTACACCACCTGGTACATTACACCACCTGGTACATTACACCACCTGGTACATTACACCACCTGGTACATTACACCACCTGGTACATTACACCACCTGGTACATTACACCACCTGGTATGTCGGGGGTCGACCTACAGCGGTCCACCACAGTACCGTTTGATATTTACAGAGCTGCAGTTTAAGTAAACTAATATCAAATAACGTCACGTCATCCCTTTGTGTTTCAAATATTAAGACGATGCCCCATTAGAGACAGGGATTAAATCTAAAATAGAATAATAACTTGAAAACATTTAATTGTCTCATTTTAAACATTTTAATATCTCATTAATTAACTGTAACCTGAAATGAAAAATACAAAAAGGTAGAATATGCAGCTCTTGTTTCGGTCATTAATAAGTAGGCCTACAACAGAACAACTTTAGTTCTAGTAATTCTTGCTTCAATAGATAATCCATATACTATTAAACTACCCGGATGGTAACTTGCCGGATGCGACAAATGCCCGAATAGATACTTGCCCGAATGCGACAAATGCCCGAACGGACACTTGCCCGAATGGGACAAATGCCCAAAATCCATTTACCCGAAGACCGTTTGCCCTAAAAATGGTAACATTACAGATTACCAAATAGTCATCCTTAATCAACTTAAATTTGAAATTTTGATAATTAAATAAATGTCTAACCAAATTGAAAGGGAACAAAATACTGTTTAATATCTGCAAGCAGGCATTATGAATTAATTAGTACTTTCTATATTATAGAAAGTGTAGGACCTACATCTTTTGCTATCTATAAAACAAGACGAAAATATAATTTTCACTTATCTGATGTTTTTAAAATGATTCTCACTTTCTGTATTAAGTAATAGCTTCAACACATTATCTAAACAAGCTGCATTAAATGAAGATGAAATATAATTGACTACCTTTAGTTTTTAAATTCGTTGCCTAAGGCGCGCTTCACTCAATTGTGAAATAGTCATCACACAAGTTAAGCATAACAAAATAAATCAAACAAACGCGTCTCTGTTCAATGTAACGAGACGCCGCGCCGACTACATCGTGTCATAAGCGCTATATAACCACCGCAACACGTCGGCTAAACAAGGTTTCCACAACTTACATCAAGACAGTATAAAACATCGCCGCCAACATAGCATTACATTATTAAAGAATAACGGTTTTTACAGCAATTTCTCAAGTTTCAAACATTAAATGTTAAATCTTAAAAGTATACACATTTTCAAAAATATAAACACATTTGTTTTTTTTTTGCCCAGAATTGAGTTATCATAATGTCAAACTTGAATTGATTAAGAATGTCTATTTGATATTTAACAAATGTCCATTCGGGAAAGTGTCCATTCGGAAATCGGCCTTGGGGCAAACGGCATTCGCGCAAGTGTATTTCAGGAATTTGTCATACACCCGGTTTTAGCATAACGTATTTAACATTTGTTGTACGTTTTGTGACGTTTTCAATGACCTGCTAAACTGGTAAGGTCAATACGTGAGAAACAATAACCTAACACCACACAAACTAAGGACCGTACTAGCTAGTGGTCTAGTGTTTCAATTTATGGTCTTGGACAAAGTTATGTAAACAATATAGATTCTTATATGCAGTTTATTTTTTGAAAAATAATTGTTTGATTTGAGTTTGTCAATTTTACTTACATTATAAACTGCATACAAAACATATAATGAGCTGATAACATAAACTAATGAAACGACAATTTACAAATATTATGGATCAAGTAGTAAGAACATTCGTATAATTAAACATGTTTTCTAATCAACAGAGTCATATGTAGGTCACAGATATGCTTGTTATGTGGCGTTTGATCTCACACCTGTCAGTGCTGACTCAATTTTTTCAAGATTCTGGGATGTACGTGAATATAACGGTCAACATTTTAATCAAACAACAGGAAAATTTGTATCACCGCATGATGGTTTATATCTTGTATGTGTCACTCTAAATGAAAGGGAAGGTAAACAGATTAGAGTTGATGTGTGGGCAGGTGTTGTAGTTTTATAGAAGTGAAATGTGCCGCCACTAGCGCTGCTGGGTCAGTGGTTGTTGACATGAAGAAAGGTCAAGAACTTTACTTTAAAGTGGATCACGCAGATCAAGGCGCAACGTTATCCAGCTACAGTAGGTTTATTATCGTTAGTTTATAGAAGTACAACAAATTCTCAAAACAATAAAACATGTAACCAACACGTTAAGCACACGCCAACAACTTACTACATGTCAATAAACATTTAATGGTTTGTATGTTGTTTTTAGTCATCATTATACAGTTCCAACTTTTTCAATGTGATCACCAATTAATATGTTGTACGTGACCACAATAAACATATCTTTCTTCTTCTTCGGTCTTAATTTTTAGTGTTGGGAGGGATCGAGCCTTATCTGCCAGAGAGTTTGAACTCGAGAATTTTTTCGAATTTATCAACCATGAGCTTTTCCGACTCGACCATGCTTCCATCACAATTAAGGATTACGTGTCAATGGGTAATGCGCCATTGAGGCCATTGACTCCGATTTCAGCCTGCTTTTCTTTTTGGATTTGTTTCCATAGCCTTTGTCCAAACAAGAACAAACTACAAGGCAGCAGTTGTTTGATTTGGACCCCCAATAAACATATGAGATACATCAGTTTTTAAAAATCTTTTGTTTCTATGTATATGTGTATCATTGTATTTGTTAAAAACAAAACCTAGTTTTTGTGTGTAAATTTTGAAATTGAATTCCGCATTTTCGGACAAACACAATGAACAATTTAAAAAATGGAAATATTTCACTTGGTAACTTATATATGTGTGAGATATATTTTAAACAATTAATTGATGTAATGAATTTGTAAATATTTTGAAAGATACTGAAAATAACTTTTGTTTTGTTTCAAGGTAAAAAATAAATAAATTACAGTTATTCTCGAAACAAAAACCGCTCTTGTGATTCTAGTCAGTAACATTGTATGTGGAGAAGGGGGGGGGGTCTGGGTTTAATTAGAGATTTAAAAAAATGCTTAGTTTATTTAGTTGGGTTAAGGTTTAGTGAAGAATGCACGTTTTACGTAACTTAAACAAGGCTACTTGAGTTTTATTTCTTTTTTTAATGAGAAATAAACCACTAGAGCTTACGTGTTTTCGCACATCAAACAACTCTCAAGACCGTTAAGAAGATGATTCGCGTTTAAATGTATATCTGTTCGCCACAGTTTTTAAAAATAAAACAAGATCTTATTCTATATTCCAATATAGTCGATCAATAACTAGCCGTTGCTACTAGTCTGTTTTCGTCTTCTGTTCTTTGTCTAGTCGTGTTAATTAAGTTAAGTGTGATGGTTTTATTTATTGTGCCTGTTTGATTGGTGGTTTTTAATATTATCGCACGTGTTTGCTTTGCTTTCTGCAAAAATGTATTTTGCAAATTTAACATTTTTGTTTGCATTGGAAATATATTTTTATTGCATACGATGAGCCTAATAAAATTTAGTTCTAATTGTAAATTGGTTAATATCTATTGCTGTCCCATGTGTTGTAGAAAAACCTTGTTAAATAGGTATTGCATTTAGCAATAGTATGTGTATGAAACATTGCTTCACTATAGACAGATAATATGCAAACATCTCAAAACTATCTCGAGGTATAATGTTAATTTCTTTTCTCTCAAATATGTGCCGAGCACTTAATTAACTAACACGTAATTTCAAGAAGGTGGGTGGATTTCTTGGTTGTGGAAACTTGAAATGATCAGCGTGAAGAGAACACTTATCATTTATATATCAATAGTTCGTCATTAACATGGGCGTCCACTGAGATTTTAAAAGGCCGAGATTCGAGGTTTATATTTCACCATCTTATTTGCTTGTTATTTAATCTACGCTGACTTTGTGTAATGCAGAGAAATGTATCACTGACAGAGGCAACCAATTTAGTTTATAAAGTGGTTATCAGTAGTTATGTACTGTTTGATTTGATCACACCTGAACTATAGCAGATATAAGTGATAAAACCAGTTAGTGATTGCATAACACGATATGATGTTCTTGGTGTTTATATTAAACTGAGATAAATGATATGAAATTAAGCCAAAGAACAGGTCAGTACAAAGTACACTTAAAACAGGCACCACAACACGGTAGCTGCAACTTGTGTTCATGACTTCACACATTGTTGATTAAGTGGAGTCACAATTTGTTAGTGTTTTGGAACTAGAGTGAATAAATCAAGTGCTAAACAGGATTATTTATTCAGTGAAATGTAAGTTTACATGTAGCAAACCTAAAGTTAGTGATAGATAAACTTTAGACATCTGACTTATCACAGATAAGATAGTTGAGCAAATGCACTTTAACGATACAAGTATACTGATATATTGTATTTAATTATTTAAAAAATTATTTTAAAAAAACATTTCTAACGCCCTTTTGCACTGAAAGTGCCTTCCGACTTATGGTGATATAAGAATATACCGTTAATAATGTTTAGGGGAAATCAATCCTGTTTTATTTATTTTTTCCTTAGTAATAGTATGTCTTAAAATAACATTTTGCATATATGTATGCCTTTTATCACTAAAAATATTAATTTAATACTTTCGTACTAACCCATATCTTGCAAGCGTTACAAAGCTTGTAAAAAACCCACTGAAATTAATTAAAAACTAGTCTATTTAAAAAAAAAAAATTGCATTAATTGGATAATTTTTACTTTCTCGTATACGTATATAAACTATTGGGGGTAGACAATGAGTGGTCGAGTATCATTCAATCGCCTAAAAATTAAAAACGAAACATTTTTATTAGTCTTTCTTGAAATAGCCGCAACACGACCGAAACACAAGATTTCATAACACGTTGAAACCTACGGTTTGATTGATGACTAGTTTTATGTGACGTTTTTTTTTCAATGTTTGTATGTGTATGTGTTTGCTTGTGTGTTTCTGCGAGTATTGTAATAAATGTCTTATATAATTTCTCTGTACTCCAGGAAATGTTCCCATTTGAAGTTTCATTCTCCTGCCCAGCCCACTTGCTGTGTTCTATCTTGACAATAGCCCTCCTTAAACTCTTATATTGGTAGGCCGTTCTAAAACAGTATTTCCTATACTACTGATCCTCTAAATGTGCACATGACCTAGTACTTAATGCTTTAATTATTTTTGATACATTTCTTACGTATCCATTTATCAAAAATATTCAGCATTCAAATAACTGAATGCTTGTTGTCTCTTAAAAAAGGCAATTTACCACTAAAAAATATAACACGTGATCAAAAAATTACATTAATAAACAACAATGGTTACTTTAAAATTGTGTTTTACAGTAAAAAACTAAACATGCGTTACTAGTATCTGTTTAAAACTATCATTGTTTTTTTGCCACACAACATTACGAAACATAATTATACTTAAAACATAGGTTGTGCAGGGTATTCATTTATAATACAATGAGTTAATGTTAACATACTTACGAATGGAAATTGGTACAAACCATTGAAATTAACTTTTCTACTTCAGTTTTCATATTTTTGTTTTTCCCTCAAGTGAGAAATAACATCGTAATGACTTTTTGTATCTTATTGCATTTTCCCTGCTTTATTTGTGTGAGTTTTAAGTTCTCCATTTATTTTGTTCAAAATATTGTCAACCTTTTCCATCTCAGTATTTGTGCTTTCTAGTGTTTGGCTTGTATTTGGTTCTTTTTCTTTGAGGGTCTCAATTTCTTTACCCATCTAATTTATTCTGGGTTTATTTGCGTTTTTATTTGCTTTTATATATTCTTTATTTTCTGTTTGTTTTTCAGACAATTCTTCAAGTTTTTAGTTTTTCTTAGTCATTAGTTATTATTATTTCATATTATTATAGTTATCCCCAAGATATGATTAGAACTGATTTTAGATGGTAAAAGATAACATGAGATGACGTGGCCTAGCAGTAGAGTGCGGTATAAAGCTAGAATTGAGTTCAAATCCGGGTTTAATTTAGTAGAGTGTCTCTGAGTCCACCCAGTTGTGGTGGGTACCTAACTCACGTTAGGGAAACAAAGGCCGTTGGGCATACTGCTGACCACAATATCCCTTCATGCTGAGGCTTCTGAAGCAGATGAACACTACAGCCTCTGACCCATGTGTCTTGGGCACACACGGCGAAAAAAGACGAAAAGACATCCTAGAACGCTATTGAAACTAAAGAAAAGTTTTGGGGATTTTAAAAAAATTATCTGTAAATTTAATATGTATGTGTATAAGCGATGAAAAACGTGGGGCGCCGAAGTAAAAGTTATATTACTATTGATTAGATAATACTATTGACTTTTATTAGGGAGCCTGTAGAGAGTCAACAGTATTAGAAACTGTAAGAAAATCACGGCGCCCCACGTTTTTCAGTAATTCATAATTTGTGAATTCGACAGTACCAACGCTGCCACGTAAAATATTTCTTTAAAACACTATAAGTAGCTCGTTAAGGACCATAACCCCCCCCCCCCCACCCCCATTACTTCACCCCTCCCCCCCCCCTTACGTTTAAAATCGTTGGCTCTGCTTGTAAACATTTAGAGTGAACACAGCTCACTAAAACCATGTAGGGGTGGGGAGGTACGGAGCGCGTTTACAGCTTGTGCTCTAGCGGCTCCCAGAAGAGAATTATATATATAGATAGTATTTATAGATACATACATTTTCCAAGTGAATTGCTTTGTGAGCTAGTGCCTCAGATTTAGTTTTTATAGGTTCATCTTTGACTTATACAGATGCACATGTGACATGCCCTAATAGGGAAGCGTATGAGAAGTCATGGTCAATTTTGACATCTCCTGAGGAGATAAAAAGTTTCTTCCAGGTGCGCCCCCCCTCCCGCGCCAAACGAAATGTAATATATATAGATAATATATACTACGAGCCGACCCGCGGCGTATCATACGCCGCTATTTAGTTGATTTATTTTCTACTTTTCAGTAATTCATAATTTGTGAATTCGACAGTACCAATGCTGCCACTGAAAATATTTGCTTTAAAACACTAACCCCCCTCCTTTTCCCTAACCCCGACCCTACACCCCCCCCCCCCCCACCCGTGAAAGCAGCCTCCTCTTAGTTACCTCCTGTACGTTTAAAATCGGTTCAAACTAAATTATCTGCCCCTAATAGCCGTCACTAAACCCGGCTCTAAGATCTGTAAACATTAACGTGACCACAGCTCACCAGACGATGTGGGGGTGGGGTGGGGGTGATAGTGAGAAAGAGAGGGGACTGCAAGAAGGCACTTGCAGCTTGTTTTCTAACGTCTCCCAGAAGAGAATTATATATATAGATAAAACATTATTTTTTAAAATATCTTGGGAAAAATAAGTATATAATATTTAGAATGCCCTTGACTGTAAAAGAAAATATTACTACGTGTATGTTCAGTAGAGCTAAGGGTTGGTACATTTGTATTTAACTACCTCTTCCTTCTCATGTACTTCATGGGATTTTGTAAATGCTTTTATAATTGAAAGCTAAAAGGTCGTTCGCAGTTATGTTTGAGCTCTGGTGAACTGAGGTCCAGAAAAAAGATAACCCCAACGTTTAAAGTAAAAATTTTAAAAATTGTTTGAAAACTACTCTCACCTATTTTTTGCTAAGTATATAAAGGAATGCGGAGTCTGTCCAGTTTTGAATTCTGTGACGATTAGTCCTGGAGAGGCAACTATCTATTTTTCAAGCATCTCGTGACCACATCTCGAAGTTTCATGGGCTGCTGTCTATGATATTTTACACTGTGAATATTGTATACGGCGATTGCAATTAGCGGTCAGTTTACACGTCCTGGATATATAAAAGTGTGGCCGCAGTTTGTATTGTATTTTAGTTATTACATTTGAAGCCCGTGCTACTCCAGGAAGTGAGAAAAAAAAAACACTTGAAAGCTCTAAACGTAGCATATAGGCAATTAGTTAAAGACACTAAACTTACATTTGTTTTATTTAGATGCGTCCCAGAATTCAGCTGAAGATTGTTACAGTACAGATGAAATATTTGCAATTTATGGAGCCTGTTATTGGCTTGATGAAAAATGTGAGCGATTATTCTTGTTTTAGTGATGAACTGTTTTATTATCGTTTCGTGTATACGCATGTAGCTAGTAGTTAGTTACGTTTAGCAGCCACAGAGTTACGACTACGTCAACATGTTTTATGTCATCAGGTATTAGAAAAAAGTAAGACGTGGATAGAAGATACAAATGACAACCCGTCTATCACATACATAGAGCTTTGCCAGGAACTTGCATCAGCGACCACGGCCTTGTTGGATGTAGCTTCAAATATTTTAAGTAAAAATTGAATAAAATAAGTCTGTCTAATGTATGTATACAAACATGAACTCAACCTAAAAAAACTAAATTATGGCGACAGCTCACACACATCACTAGCTAAAGATACCATTTTATTTACTTTTCCAGTATAAAACATGAGATTATATATAATATATTTCAAATTATTTACTATAGGCTACAAAAATCGAGAAATATTATATAGCAGTAACTTCGTTAGTGTTGTATGTCTACAGAATCGTAATTGTCTTTAAGAGAAAAGAGATGTAAGTTTAATTCAACTTATTATGTATACTTTTACCAAAAGGTGAAAATAAAGAGCCGGTTGTTGTTGATGGTAGAACGCCATCTTTAGCTCAGTCTACACTACATACTACAGCAACCGAAAAACGTTCCCCTAGTGAATTAACTTATCAAGTCACTAAACTAAGTCAACAATCAGCTGGTATAAAATATTTTGTATTTGCTGAGATAAAGGTTTAAAATAAATTAGGAAATGTGCAAAAATTAAACTTATACTATTGTAATTGAAACGTTGCTATTAAATTTATTGTGCATTACATAAGTATTCACTCGACTAGGACTTCTAGAAAACAGAATATCTTGTCTACAAGGCACAACGCAAAAAACTAAGGAAAGCATATCAGAAAGAAAACAACGGAGAGACAACTTTGTAACAGAACAGAGTGACATGGGGGTAAACCTTGAACAACTGACTAAAAAACAAAAACAGAACTTTAAAAACATCAGAAAACAAATGAGTGAACAAGATAACAAAATAAAGGAGATGAACAAAGATATTGAAAGTTTAAAAGAAAAAGAAACAAGGTCAAATAAAACATTAGAGAAGCTGACACTAGAAATAAAAGAATTTGAAAACAACTTACAAAAAATAAATATAGAGATGCAAGCTAATGCAGATGGAAGAGACGGTATGAAAGAAGAAATTAAAAGCCATTCTGATTTGATTGTTTCTTTACAACATGAAAATAATAAAATCTTGGAAAAAACATCAAACGTAATTGAACAGTTGCAATCAAAGGTAAATTTTAAAATCGGCAAGTATTTTGCACACAATTCTATTCTTACTTGCCAGTTAATTTTTTTCATATTTTTAATTAAAAGGCAGTTGATTAACTTAATCTATAATAATACCATTTATTTTTAAGTTAATTTTATGTGAGTTAATTTGCAATTCAAATAGTTAAATTTATAAATCTTCAATTATGATCGTCGGTCTTTAGCACAGTGTTATGTACAAACTCCTACAACAAAGGTTGATGCCGATTGAGAAACTGATTCAAATCTTTAACCAGAACTTGGAAACTAGGGAAAAAAGAAAAAAGATGGTATCTTGCAAGTTGTCATAATCTATGGAATTGCTGAACCAGTCTTATACAATAGCCTATGTAGATATGTGATTCTTTCATTTATTTATTTTATTTGCATTTAGCTGGGTGAACTTGAAAATACTATTTCAAAGTTTTGTAGCGTTTTCCATCTCATCGGTAAGTTTACCTTGAAAAAAAAAATATTTTAAAAAATACTTAAATAACAATTGCTATTTTATGACAGTTCTACTTTTTGGTGTTCTTGTTTTAATATAACAATACTAAAAGCTATCAAATAATTCTTAATGATAACTAATCTGTAAATTTTTTACACGTTTTATTAACTATGTTCAAAATTCCACCCTTAATCTCTCAAATTATATTTAAATATTTCACTCTCTGCCTTTCTATTACATGGACATAACCACTTGTTCGTTAGCCAGCCAGACCACAACGTGATGTTCGTTAGCCAGATAGACCATAACGTGATGTTCGTTAGCCAGACAGACCATAACGTGATGTTCGTTAGCCAGACAGACCATAACGTGATGTTCGTTAGCCAGACAGACCATAACGTAATGTTCGTTAGCCAGACAGACCATAACGTGATGTTCGTTAGCCAGACAGACCATAACGTGATGTTCGTTAGCCAGACAGACCATAAAGAATGGAACATTTCACTCATCCATAGTGCCAGTCTCTAGACCCGTGGGTTTCCGCCAGGTGTTTGTTTCCTCACCTGGTATATTACACCACCTGGTATGTCGGGGGTCGACTTTCAGTGGTGTACCCTAGTACAGTAAGACATTTACAGAGCTGCAGTTTAAAATTAACTATAAAATTAATTAATTAATACCAAGTAACGTCACGTCATCCCTTTAAGACGATGCCCCATACGAGGCAGGAATTAAATCTGAAATACAATAATAGGCCTACTTGAAAACATTTATAATTTTAACTTTTGTAACATCGTAATATATAATTGATTTACTGTAACGTGAAATAAGTTTAAATGAGTTGAAGATGCTAATCTTGTCATCGGTTTTACTAGAGTTTCATAATTACAAGTGAATAAATTTAGTTCTCTAAATTTTTGTTTCGACATATTAACCTTATGTAATTAATTTATAATGTAAACAAATACGCAATGTATGATTTAACAAAACTCATATAACATTTGTTATACCTTTAGAGACGTATTAGGTAACCTACTACCCTCGTAGTTTCAATACTGAGGACACGATAAACTAACACCACTAAAACTGAGGACCGTACTAAACTAGTGGTCTAGTGTTTCAATTTGTGACTTAGTCAAAATTATGTAAACATTATGGATAATTATACACATCTTTAAAAGAAAAATAAGTTTTATTTGGGTTTGCCCTTTTACGTTACATTTTGAACTACCTATAAAACACGTATAATAAGTTTATGTTTAGGGTTATTATCATAAACTAATGATACGAAAATTCGCATATATTCTGAATTAAATAGTCATAGCATTCGTGAAATTGAACTTTACAATCATGCATGTTTCTATCAACAGAGTCACGTGTATGTAACAGATATGCTTGTCATGTACAGCTTGCTGGTCCCACACCTGTTAGAGCTGGATCAATTATTTCAAGATTTAGTGAAGTACGTGAATATAACGGCCAACATTTTAATCAGACAACAGGGACATTTGTATCACCACATGATGGTTTATTTCTTGTATGTGTCAATCTGAATGAAAGTAAAGATAAACAGATTTTAGTTAGTGTGATGGCTGGAGGCGTGTGGTGTAGGTTTATAGATGTGAAATCATCAGTTGTTGTTGACATGAAGAAAGGTCAAGAACTTTACTTTCAAGTGTTTCTCGCAGATCAAGGCTCAACGTTATCCTGCTATAGTAGTTTTAATATCGTTAGTTTATAGAAGTACTACACAAAACATGGTGGAAAGGAAATTCTCAAATAAAATATGTAACCACCATGTTAAACACACGCTAACAACCAACTATGTGTGTAGACTACATGTATAAAAAAACAACTTGAATGATTTATATGTTATTTGTCTAGCCATCATTACACAGTTCCATATAACTCAATGCCATCACCATCTTCCTGGTATGTGAGCTCTAGGTGTATGGTTAAAATCATTTGTTAAATTTGCATACATACATTTGATGTGTTAAACATAAACGTATTTTTCTGGTTGAATTAGTAATTAAGATCTAGAGATTTAAGACAAATCAAATGAACTATTTGAAACACGAAGGCTTGAATACGTTTAATCGACAAAATTATTATTTACCTTACGTATTAAAATACGTGAAGAAAAAAAAATGTTTTTATTAACCTGGATGTAACTGTTATTGTGATCATTACATTTGTTCTATTACAAACAATAGACTACAATTTTTCTATATTAAAAACCCTATTTTCGTTTGAGTATGATTGTGTCAGTAAAATTCGCACAACACGTAGGCCCTATAACTATCTAAATACATCCATGTGTCTTAAAATTGTGTTATATGGATAGTTTCTTCTTATGGTATAATCAATATGTGATCGTGCAGGGTTAGATCGACAGATTTATATTGAATATTTTATGTCAATACACATATAACAGGATATGTACATGTAGTCCGTGATGCAATGAGATCGAATACACCATCAAGTGGCAGTATAAATAGCGATGTTTTTAAACAGACAATAACACAAACATCTACATTTTTTTTATTCTCGCATTCGCTGACAAATTTTAAAACATTGATAATCGAGGGATAATTTATAACTTCGATTTATAATAGATAAATTGAAAGTTATTTCCATTTATAATTAATAACATAGTATAAACATAATTTAGGTGAAAAAGGAACTGATTTTAAAAATTTAGCTACTTAATAAAATGTTTACTTTTAGCCTCAAGTAAAGTGTTATGACGTTTGTTTGATCAGGTGTGTTTATACGGACGAATATTGGTGCGAAAGTTGTAATGAACGCATGAAGATGTGCCGCGGTACACAAGAATGTGACGTTTCAGTGTAGGATCGTTGTTGCCGGGAAAGAAGTTTAGTTAGTCTTAATCTTGTTATGTTGGGGTGAGGTCGTAGTGTTTTCAAGTCTCATTATAGTTCGTTCAAGCCGTCCTATGTATTTTTATAGTGTAAACACTACTGAAGTAAACTGCTGTCATCCTGTCGAGACTCTAAGAAAAACTACTGAATGGTTAGAGAGGAAAATAATGGTATTGATATTTTAGTCTCCACATAAAGGCTGGTGCTAGACCTCATAGATTTATTTTAAATATAAATGGAACACAAATAATGCGACATATAACAAGTTTCACAAATAAATAATGTAGATGTATTTGAAATATATATAAAGGATAACAAAGGATTTAAAAAACATGCCAACAGTATAGTCAAAGAGTTAATACTTGTATGGTTAACTAAATGACAGATGAATTAACATACTATTACATCTTGCCGCAATTTAAAATATAATTACACGACTTTTAAAATTAATCCTTACCATATGTAGACAAAGCGCTTTTTATCAAACACCGGCATTGGACAAACCATATGTGATCAAAGACCCTATATAGAAAAAACACCTGTGATCAAAGACCCTCTGCTGAGAAAACAACCGTGGTCAAACCCCCTATGATCAAAACCCCGTTATGGTCAAAGCCCCGCTGTGGTCAAACCCCCTATGGTCACAAAAATATTGTTGTAAATCTTTTTATTCAGATTAACATCAAACCCATCATAATTACTTTTCAGCTTGTTATAATTTCTTTATTATAGCATTCACAAAAAAATATTTAAGGTTAGTCGTATTTTGCTTTGAAGTGATAAAGTAGTTTGTACTTGTTATGATGTGAGTATTTTGGGACAGGGTCGATGCTGGACGTTGACGAACAAGGGACGATCCAATACAGAAATAAGATAGGACGGCGTTCTTCATAATTATATTTTATTACGTAAACTTTACACAACTAAATTGACGACAGACCAGGACTAAGTCGTCAAGAACCTAACACGACGACAACAAGACAAAGACTGACTTCTAATTTTTTCCCCTAACAAGCAACACATACTCTCCTACGTCCAGTGGCGTAGCCAGGATCGTCTCAAGGGGGGGGGTTCCAATTTTTACCCGGGGACAAACATTCGATTTGAACCCCCCCCCCCCCCCCGCCTCAAACTTTCGATTTGCATCCCCCCTCAAACTTTCGATTATTACCCCCCCCCCCCTCAAACTTTCGATTTGCACCCCCCCCCCTCAAACTTTCGATTATTACCCCCCCCTCAAACTTTCGATTTGCACCCCCCCCCTCAAACTTTCGAATTTGCACCCCCCCCTCAAACTTTCGATTTGCACCCCCCCCCTCAAACTTTCGATTTCCACCCCCGCCCAAACTTTCGATTTGCACCCCCCCTCATACTTTTTCTATATACCGAGGGGTCTATGGGGGGTTATGACCCCCCCTAACCCCCCCTGCCTACGCCATTGCCTACGTCACATCCTTATTTACTTTGTCACGCATTCAGAATCTTTTATTAATCACACTACAAACATACTCTCAAACTCTCACATCTTTATTAAACACATTCAACTACAAACATACTCTCAAACTCATTCAATACACCAAAGTCCATCCACAACAGAACGCCTCAGAAAAAAATAAAATAAAAATAAAACCTTAAAGCCAAAAGCAGTTAATGTTTACTTTGAAAACATTTTTATTGTATTATAATTATTATTCATCAAAATCAAACCAAAAATAACATCATTTCAAGGAGTAATTGTTAAAAGGAAAAGCGCAGCAATTAAGGCAAAATCAACAAAACGGTACTAATTACACGCAGGTGCGTCAATATAGCACTACCGTTGAGTCTAATATGTCGATTCCTTTAGGTACCAAAAGGGTATAAGTCATTCACGTTGAACAAATAGATCTATGCAATCAAATTATAACCCTTTTATCCTACAGTTCTATAAAGTAAACATATTTTTACACTTAACATTGATTACAATCACGTGAACAACCATCTTGAGCCAATCAGCATGTGACATGTATCCAAGCACTAGAAATTAAATATTAAAACACATCATTTTAATTTTCTTATCTCAGGTAAAACATTAACAACACTGTCGTTTGTTTTCTTTAGAACCCACTAGCCTCATTTTAAACTATTAGTTTAAAACAACAAGAATAGGCCTAATTAAGGTACTGTTAATCTTTAATCTAACGTCACTAAATATAATTTGAGTAAGAGGGGGCATACACTTAATAGTTCGCTCAGGTCGCTACGCTTCTTCTGACTGCAGGTGCAATAGTCCGATAGGAAAATTTAAACTGCGAGACAAAAAAGTGACGTAAATACGGTTTTAACTTCAGCTTAAGCTCGCATTTTACTCCCTCGACATATGACACTTCGTGCTTCAATTTCGCATTTTACCGCCTCGACAGTTGACATATCGTGCTTCAATTTCGCATTTTACCGCCTCGACAGTTGACATATCGTGCTTCAATTTCGCATTTTACCGCCTCGACAGTTGATATATCGTGCTTCGATTTCGCATTTTACCGCCTCGACAGTTGATATATCGTGCTTCAATTTCGCATTTGAACTTCACCTACGTTGGTCGCTGTGTAAATAATTAAACCGGTGTGAATTAGATCTACCATTGTTTACTTACCTTTAGATCGAATGTTGTTTTGATGAAATAGATTTATTGTTGTGGCTGATCTACACGTAGTTAGAGCATCACTACAAGAGAGATAACTCCCATATATTGACAACGCGATCGGGAAAGCCCACTATTATTTAACGGAGGAAGTTCTGCAACTGTACACAATTCCAGTCCTTTGATTTCCCACAACAAGACTAGGCCTACTTAAGGTACCTCTAATCTTTAATCAATTTAAACTGTTTTTAAAATAGCATTTCCTTTTAATATAGCCAAATAACATAAAAATAATGAATTTTAAACAAAATAAAAAGCTCTTCTTCTTTAATTCTTACTCAGTTATGATATTGTCTTAAGTATATATTTTGATATTACATTATTTCCCAAAAATATAATCATTAGTCGGTTTTATAAAAAACGTATTTTATTATTGTATGTTTAGGCAATTCACAGATACATTGTTAAAATAGTTCATCACAATGCTGGATAGATAATAAAAGTAAAAAAAGGAAATACCCAAGTGTATAATTTTAGCAAGCAGGAAATAACATAATTGAAGCCAAGGAAAACTATCGCATTTTTCTGATAAGTAGGCCTATTACATAATTAACTGTAACAGATCTAAACAAAAAATATAACAATACTTAAAGTAGTTTTCATTTAATTGTGGATTACCAGTTATAGTTTAATAATTTAAGACAAAAACTTAGTCTTGGCAGATTTATAACTCATTTATTAGATTGTATTTCATTGTTATAATTAACTCTTTATTTACTGAATTAATTTCTGGATGAAATGAATTATTATATTGCTTTTGGTACACTAGGCTTACCGTCAGTAGACAGGGGCGGAACTACAGTGCCGCCAGACCCCGCCGTTTAGGGGGCCCACAGCCGCCCATAATCATTTTTTTAAAAGTTAAAATTAATTTTCTTGCATTTTTGACCTGATGGTTGTTTTGAAAAAAAGAATACTGTAGCTGCGGTTGGAGTATCTATAATCTATTGACATCATCCCACGCTCTTGTATATTCTTTTTCCTACAATCAAACACACGCTGTTGTCGGCAAAATTCTTTTGAAAAAACATCAATTGCGCGAGAGGCCGCTAGATATTAAGACGGCTTTTTGAGACCATCCCAAATTTGGTACTGATGGATAAAAGCACATCGGTGCTTTGTTGTCCCTTTTAAGTTCCTTTCTCAGACCCCCCCTCCCGCTCTTAGCCTTACAAGAAGCGAGTAGATAGCGCCTCAACAACTAAGCTGGCTCGTATCGGTGGTAGTGTAAACAAACTAGCGCTCCAACAACTAATATCCAAGAAATAAAGTGCCGACATTGTTTACATTTAATAACCACTGTTCTAGAAAACAAGGCAAACGTCTCCAATAAATAAACGAACGATAGCGTGTTATATATATATATATATATATATATATATATATATATATATATATATATATATATATATATATATATATATATTAGTTTCGTCACTGGCACCTTGATAGTGGTTTTGTAAATAACAAACAGATAACAGATATTATACAGTAGTGATATTATATAGTAGCTAAGACATGCTGTTGCGTAAAAAAAATTTAACAAAAATATACACATGAGCTGTAGTGTGAAAGATAGGCAAACGTTCAAACCACTTCCATAAATTATTTCCCTTTTTCAAATAGCCAAATAGGGGTGCTCATAAGCTCCTTTTAATAGATTTATAGATTTTTAATAATCAAATTAAACAGCAATTACTTATCTTAATTATTTTTTTACAAAATAAGTACTAAAGAATGGCATAGTATAATAATGAAATGTAGTTAAAGCTAATAATATGAATACAAAAAAACATAAAAATAAACATAACACGAGACACCATTACTTATACAAAGCTTCATGATTTATATAATTTTGACCGAATTAATGGTTTGAAGTATTAAAGCAAACACAAATGAAAACAGAGATTTTCAAAACAGACTAATGCAGTCATACACATGACATGTTGTTTTGATTAGATTTAACTAATTTTTTTTTTCAAAACCCGATCAGGCCAGAAATGAGTATCCTATGTTCGTATTGTGTATATATATATATATATATATATATATATATATATATATATATATATATATATGGGCCCAAAAATATTTTTTGCGGGGTGGCCCATTTTTTCTAGTTCCGCCACTCTCAGTAGATAAAGGATTTAGTGGATTACGATTTAGTTATATTATGCTAACAATAACTCCCTTATCAGATCAGAGACGTAGCGACCCTTCCAGGCGCCTGGGGACAAACTTTCGATTTCAAACTCCCCCACAAACGTTTGATTTCGACCACCCCCCCCCCCCCTCAAACTTTGTATTTGCAACCCCCTCCCTCAATATTTTGATTTGTAAACCCCCTCAAACTTTTGATTTGCACCCCCCGCCCCCTCTCAAGCTTTTAATTTATTTTTCCAAACCATTTTAACGCCCCCTAAGGTCTGCGCCCGGGACATATATCCCCCCGCCACCCCCTCACTACGCTTCTGTATCAGCTCCTATTCAAGGATACTTTCCTGTACTCTTCGATATAGTCATCTTTCGGGATTTATTGACGGACATATTGACGGACATTAATGATATATGCAATGGACTATTTTAATGAATACATGAGCAGTTATACTTACCTTTAATTACCGTGAGATATGATAATTATTTTATGATTGTGCATTTATAAAATTTGCAGTGGAATAGTAATCATAAAATTAAGACTTAAGCAGATGGAAACAAATGGACTACATAGTATAGACTTTAGATATCGACTTGCTGATAATGACAGAGATAACATTGATATTGCCTCAGAGGCGTATCCAGGTTTTCGTTGTAGGGGGAGCGGAAATAGCAAAAAAAGGCGCCGAATATGTAATATTTTCTATATAAGTATATATATATATATATATATATATATATATATATATACATATATATATATATATTAGCTGTATGTTATTGCTTCGATATGATGTAAAATAAATTTAAATAAGCACTCTGAAGAAAAAAAAACACACAATGTAGGCCGACGAAACAAAAAAATATGGTATCACTCTAAAATAAATAAATAAATAAATAAATAAATAAATAAATAAATAATATATATATATATATATATATATATATATATATATATATAAACACACTGCAACCAAAAAACAATGAACGCGGCATAATCTGTTTCGTATTTTTTGTAAAAAAATTACATAATAATTCCTGGGACATCTAAGACTAGAGAAAAGGGGAAATAATCAATATCTTAATATAAATATGTATATGTCTACACATTTATTATAAATATCAAAACAAATCAATAATTACTTTAGAATCTAATAAAGTAGCTGAACACTATTCGTTTTTACAAAAAATATTTGTCTAAAATCAGAATTAAATATATTGTAATTATAGATGCTAAAGTATTACAGCATAATGAAAGTTTTTTAAATCAGAGTTGTTATAAAAGCCAGCTTTTCACTCTACAAGTTAAACGTTTGGAATAATAATAATAGCCTACATATAATAGTAATATCGGTCTTACATTTCAAATTATGCAATTTTTTAAAATTGCTACTGACAAGTTGTGTTTTTTAAAGATAATTTTTTAACATAATGAGAAGGTATGGGTTAGATCACTGTATTGCTCACACACCTTTTACTGGTAATTGAAAAAACAATATTCACAGAGATTTACGTTTCAAATGTGCCGACCAAAGATAATTTTTAACAAATATCAATGTTAAAAACTTTGAGTTTAAAAAGTTTCCAAAAAGGCGCCACTTTGCTAAAAATGGCCAGAGGGGGAGCGGCCGCTCCCCCTGCTCCACCCCTGCGTACGCTACTGTATTGCCTAATCAAATAACTAATATACATATATTATATTTTTTTAAAAATTGATAGTTTTATGATATTCAGATGCCTTCGAGAATTCAGGTAAAGCTTGTTACAAAGCATAAGAAATATTTGGAAGAACAGATACAAGTTCTGGAACCTGTTATAGGGAATATGAAAAATGTAAGTAATTACCAACTTACGTAACACTTAGAATGTAGAAAAATCATTCTGTACAGGATAAAGTAGATTTTGCCATTACGAAGTACACGTAATAAGATATATATTAAAAAAAACACATGTTTAGGAATATAGCACTACAACACATGACCACTATAAAATATTGTTGTTGTTTGCTTTAACCAGGTTGTTACAAAAAGTAAGGCGTGGCTAGAAGAAAAAACTGACCAATCATCTGTCAGCTACATCGAGCTATCACAAGAACTGGACACAGCAGCCACGGCCTTGTTGGATGTGACGTCACATATTTTAAGTCAGTACTCTAATAGTTTTTATAATTTAAAATCTCAAAGCCTACTGTCATGTGTCAAGTGTGTTCAGTAGTAAGCTCTTCTATTGAGAAAAAAAAGGAACAACGATTTTTTTTTTTTACAGTTAAGTTTACAGACATTGCAAATGCAAAGTTAAAGGGATATAAATTTATTCTGTCGCCCAACTAACAAAGTAACAAACCACATATATTCAATTAAATTCGATATTTCACTAGTGACTCTTAAAACGTTGAACAAAATTGAAGAATGTACAATCGCATTGTGCAACTTTACTCGCCTTAAGGATTTATTTAAAGTTATACGTTTTTTTAGATAATTTGGTATCTACTTTTAAATTCATAAACAGCCGTGTAAAAGAAAAACAGCATGTGTGATTTGTATACTCTAGACATTTTGAAGACTTTGTGTTTATATAAATGTGGATCTTATTCAAAGTTTTTGTTTTCATCAGAGTGTTTCATCATATGCATTACGGTTTGAAATATATAAGCAATAAACATATTGTATGCACCAAAATCATTGTTAATTTGAACGGAAAGTTTTTAAAAATAAACTTTAATCCAACAGACGAGGACAATATGGATGTCAACAAACCAACGCCATCTAAACCACAGCCTGACACACAGACAACAGCAACATATCTAACAGTAGAATCTAAAAGACAACTTATCACACAAGTTCAACACACAGCTGGTATATTATATTATTCTTTGGCATAACACGTAAAATAGCATCATCATATACCTTGATGTAATTTCATTTTTAACATTCTATTTTCCAAGGTTCGAGACATGTTAAATTACAAACTTATATTTGTGACTATTCTCAGTTGTAGAACACCCTGACCTAGAGCGTAGACTCGCCTATATTGAAACAACACTATCTTCACTACAGGACACACAACACAAGTCTACAGATGACATATCAGAAATAAAACAATGGAGAGACAACTTTGTAACAGAACAGAGTGACATAGGGGTAAACATTGAACAACTGACTAAAAAACAAAAACAGAATTTTAAAAACATCAGCAAACAAATAAGTGAACAAGATAACAAAATAAAGGAGCTGAACAAAGAAATTGAAAGTTTAAAAGAAAAAGAATCCAGGTCGAACAAAACACTAGAGAAACTGTCTCAAAATATAAAAGAATATGAAAACAACTTACATAAAATAAACAAAGAGTTGCAAGCTTACACAGATACAACAGACAGTATAACACATGAAATTAAAAGACTTTCTGATTTAATTGTTTCTTTACAAGATGAAAGTAATAAAACCTTTGTCAAAACATCAACCGGATTTGAAAAGTGGCAATCAAAGGTATAGTTTTAATTTGCTAAGTATTTTGAACACATTTCTATTCCCTTTTGTCAGTTAATGTACATCAAATTCTTAATTAAAAGGCATTTGATTAATGTAACCTATAATCATACCATTTATTTAAATGGTAATTTTATGTGAGTTTTGATTACAAAAAATAGTTTAACTTATAAATAATCTTGTGATCGTCGGTCTTTAGCACAATGTGATGTACAAACTCCTACAACAAAGATTGATGCCCATTGACAAACTGATTCAAATCTTTAACCAGAACTTAGAAAATCGTAAAGAAAGAATTAATAAGGTGTGTTTGTAATACTTTTATAAAACTAAAATTATTCACAACACTGATAAATCCTACATTACTCAATACAAGTATGTTATTAGACTATTTAGTATTTACAGAGAAAAAAAAGACTTAAATGACAATATACGTTTAATCATTTTATATTCTAACAAGTTGACAATATTTATTGAATTTAGTGTACCAGTCCTACATTATAGCTTATGTAAATATATTGTGATGCTTTCATTTATCTATTTAATTATAATTTAGCTGGGTGAACTTGAAAATAGTATTTCCAAGTTGTCCAACGATTTTCATCGCATCGGTAAGTTTGGTTTAAAAATTGGTTAGAAACATATTTATTTAACAGTAGTGATTTAATGACATTTCTACCTTTTGATTTCCCGTTTGAATGTAACAACAGTAAAAGCTATCATGTAATTCACAATGATAACCAATCGATAAATGTCCAATACGTTTTATTACCTTTGTTCAATATTCTAACCGCACTCTCTGCCTTTCCATTACACGGACATAACCACTTGTTAAACTAAGTTAGTTAGCCAGACAGACCATAACGTGATGTTCATTAGCCAGACAGACCATAGCGTGATGTTCGTTAGCCAGACAGACCATAACGTGATGTTCGTTAGACAGACAGACCATAACGTGATGTTCGTTAGCCAGACAGACCATTACGTGATGTTCGTTAGCCAGACAGACCATAACGTGATGTTCGTTAGCCAGACAGACCATAACGTGATGTTCGTTAGCCAGACAAACCATAACGTGATGTTCGTTAGCCAGACAGCCATAATGTGATGTTCGTTAGCCAGACAGACCATAACGAGATGTTCCTTAGCCAGACAGATCATAAAGTAATGTTCGTTAGCCAGACAGACCATAACGTGATGTTCGTTAGCCAGACAGAGCATAACGTGATGTTCGTTAGCCAGACAGACAATAACGTGAAGTTAGCCAGACAGACCATAACGTGATGTTCGTTAGCCAGACAGACCATAACGTTATGTTCCTTAGCCAGACAGACCATAACGTGATGTTCGTTAGCCAGACAGACCATAACGTGATGTTCGTTAGCCAGACAGACCATAACGTGATGTTCGTTAGCCAGACAGACCATAACGTGATAAAGAATGGAACATTTCACTCACCCATAGTGCCAGTCTCTAGACCCGTGGGTTTCCGTCAGGTGTTTGTTTCCTCACCTGGTACTTTACACCCCCTGGTATGTCGGGGGTCGACCTACAGCGGTATGCCCTAGTACAGTAAATCATTTGTAGAGCCACAGTTTAATTAGCAAATTTTAATTACCGTCATTTCATCACTTTAAGTTTCTACTATTAAAACTGTGTCGCATTAAATCAAGGAATTAAATCTAAAATAAAATAATAACGTTTAAAAAAAATCATTTTTAATATCTTATTATCTAATTTTTTAAAACTAACTTGAAATAAACAATAGTTAATGATGGTGGTGCTTATCGTCGCACCGATTTTATCAGAATCTGATATGTACAACTGAATCAAATTTGTTTTTTGTTTCGATAGATTAACCTACTATAATTAAACTATAATGTGAACACATACAGAATGTTTTTTTTATTTGTTTTAATTTTATGTGACTTATTACGTTACCTGCTACACTTGTATAAAATTAACAGTTTAAAATCGTTAGGTGACAAACTAAAAACACTTAAAGAAAAAAATATTGAAACTATTGCAAATGGTTAACGTAAATGTACATTGTATGAATAATATAGTCAGAGCATGTGTGAAGTTAAACATGTAATTCATACATATGTTTTCTAATCAACAGAGTCACGTGTATGTAACAGATATGCTTGTAATGTACAGCTTGATGGTCCCACACCTGTCAGTGCTGGATCAATTATTTCAAGATTTGGTAAATTACTTGAATACAACGGTCAACATTTTAATCGAACAACAGGAAAATTTGTATCACCACATGATGGTTTATATCTTGTCGGTGTGTCACTTAATGAAAGTGAAGATAAAGAGATTATAGTTGGAGTTAGGACTGGAGGCGTGTGGTGTAAATTTATAGAAGTGAAATGTGCCGACACTAGTGCTGCCGGGTCAGTGGTTGTTGACATAAAGAAAGGTCAAGAACTTTACCTTGAAGTGTTTCACGCAGATCAAGGCTCAAAATTATCCTGGTACAGTAGTTTTACAATCGTTAGTTTATAAAAGTACAACACAAAACATGGTGGATGTGAAATTCTCAAAACTATAAAATATGTAACCACTATGCTAAGCACACCCTAACAACTTACTGTGTGTTAAGACTACATGTCTACAAAAATGTGAATGATTTATATGTCATTTGTTTAGTTATCATTTTACACTTCCAAATAATTTAATGTGATCACCAATTATTGTTCTACTTGACTAAAATAAACATAAAACAAAGCTCTAATTTTACTTATACTTTACTTCCCTACATAAGAGCTTTATGTGTAACATATATTTTCTGTACGTTAAATGTAATAAAAATAAAATATATTTGTGTGTTAAATATGAAACTTAGATCCACAATTTCCAGACTAACCAAATGAACTATTACAAATCTAATTATAAAAAAAAAATGAACATGTAGACTGTTGTCACATGTAGACGGTGGACACATGTAGATGGTGGACACATGTAGGCGGTGGGTAGACGGTGGACACTTGTAGACGCTGGACACATGTAGACGGTGGACACATGTAGACGGTGGACACATGTAGACGGTGGACACATGTAGACGGTGGGTAGACGGTGGACACATGTAGACGGTGGACACATGTAGACGGTGGACACATGTAGACGGTGGACACATGTAGACGGTGGACACATGTAGACGGTGGGTAGACGGTGGACACATGTAGAAGGTGGACACATGTAGACGGTGGACACATGTGACGGTGGACACATGTAGACGGTGGGTAGACGGTGGACACATGTAGACGGTGGACACATGTAGACGGTGGGTAGACGGTGGACACATGTAGACGGTGGACACATGTAGACGGTGGACACATGTAGACGGTGGACACATGTAGACGGTGGGTAGACGGTGGACACATGTAGAAGGTGGACACATGTAGACGGTGGACACATGTGACGGTGGACACATGTAGACGGTGGGTAGACGGTGGACACATGTAGACGGTGGACACATGTAGACGGTGGACACATGTAGACGGTGGGTAGACGGTGGACACATGTAGACGGTGGACACATGTAGACGGTGGGTAGACGGTGGACACATGTAGACGGTGGACACATGTAGACGGTGGACACATGTAGACGGTGGGTAGACGGTGGACACATGTAGAAGGTGGACACATGTAGACGGTGGACACATGTGACGGTGGACACATGTAGACGGTGGGTAGACGGTGGACACATGTAGACGGTGGGTAGACGGTGGACACATGTAGACGGTGGACACATGTAGACGGTGGGTAGACGGTGGACACATGTAGACGGTGGACACATGTAGACGGTGGGTAGACAGTGGACACATGTAGACGGTGGACACATGTAGACGGTGGACACATGTAGACGGTGGACACATGTAGACGGTGGACACATGTAGACGGTGGACACATGTAGACGGTGGGTAGACGGTGGACACATGTAGACGGTGGACACATGTAGACGGTGGACACATGTAGACGGTGGACACATGTAGACGGTGGACACATGTAGACGGTGGACACATGTAGACGGTGGACACATGTAGACGGTGGGTAGACGGTGGACACATGTAGACGGTGGACACATGTAGACGGTGGGTAGACGGTGGACACATGTAGACGGTGGACACATGTAGACGGTGGACACATGTAGACGGTGGACACATGTAGACGGTGGGTAGACGGTGGACACATGTAGACGGTGGACACATGTAGACGGTGGACACATGTAGACGGTGGACACATGTAGACGGTGGACACATGTAGACGGTGGGTAGACGGTGGGTAGACGGTGGACACATGTAGACGGTGGACACATGTAGACGGTGGACACATGTAGACGGTGGACACATGTAGACGGTGGGTAGACGGTGGACACATGTAGAAGGTGGACACATGTAGAAGGTGGACACATGTGACGGTGGACACATGTAGACGGTGGGTAGACGGTGGACACATGTAGACGGTGGACACATGTAGACGGTGGGTAGACGGTGGACACATGTAGACGGTGGACACATGTAGACGGTGGACACATGTAGACGGTGGACACATGTAGGCGGTGGACACATGTAGACGGTGGACACCTGTAGACTGTGGGTAGACGGTGGACACATGTAGACGGTGGACACATGTAGACGGTGGACACATGTAGACGGTGGACACATGTAGACGGTGGGTAGACAGTGGACACATGTAGACGGTAGACACATGTAGACGGTGGACACATGTAGGCGGTGGGTAGACGGTGGACACATGTAGGCGGTGGACACATGTAGATGGTGGACACATGTAGACGGTGGACACATGTAGACGGTGGACACATGTAGACGGTGGACACATGTAGACGGTGGACACATGTAGACGGTGGACACATGTAGACGGTGGCTAGACGGTGGACACATGTAGACGGTGGACACATGTAGATGGTGGGTAGACGGTGGACACATGTAGACGGTGGACACATGTAGACGGTGGACACATGTAGACGGTGGACACATGTAGACGGTGGACACATGTAGACGGTGGACACATGTAGACGGTGGACACATGTAGACGGTGGACACATGTAGACGGTGGACACATGTAGATGGTGGGTAGTCGGTGGACACATGTAGGCGGTGGACACATGTAGACGGTGGACACATGTAGATGGTGGACACATGTAGACGGTGGGTAGACGGTGGACACATGTAGACGGTGGACACATGTAGACGGTGGACACATGTAGACGGTGGACACCTGTAGACGGTGGACACATTTAGACGGTGGACACATGTAGACGGTGGACACATGTAGACGGTGGACACATGTAGACGGTGGCCACATGTAGACGGTGGACACATGTAGACGGTGGGTAGACGGTGGACACATGTAGACGGTGGACACATGTAGACGGTGGACACATGTAGACGGTGGGTAGACGGTGGACACATGTAGACGGTGGACACATGTAGACGGTGGACACATGTAGACGGTGGACACATGTAGACGGTGGACACATGTAGACGGTGGGTAGACGGTGGACACATGTAGACGGTGGGTAGACGGTGGACACATGTAGACGGTGGACACATGTAGACGGTGGACACATGTAGACGGTGGACACATGTAGACGGTGGGTAGATGGTGGACACATGTAGACGGTGGACACATGTAGACGGTGGACACATGTAGACGGTGGACACATGTAGACGGTGGACACATGTAGACGGTGGACACATGTAGACGGTGGACACATGTAGACGGTGGACACATGTAGACGGTGGACACATGTAGACGGTGGACACATGTAGACGATGGACACATGTAGACGGTAGACACATGTAGACGGTGGCTAGACGGTGGACACATGTAGACGGTGGACACATGTAGATGATGGCTAGACGGTGGACACATGTAGAGGGTGGCTAGACGGTGGACACATGTAGACGGTGGCTAGACGGTGGACACATGTAGACGGTGGACACATGTAGACGGTGGACACATGTAGAGGGTGGCTAGACGGTGGACACATGTAGACGGTGGACACATGTAGACGGTGGACACATGTAGAGGGTGGCTAGACGGTGGACACATGTAGACGGTGGCTAGACGGTGGACACATGTAGACGGTGGACACATGTAGACGGTGGACACATGTAGACGGTGGACACATGTAGACGGTGGACACATGTAGACGGTGGCTAGACGGTGGACACATGTAGACGGTGGACACATGTAGACGGTGGACACATGTAGAAGGTGGGTAGACAGTGGACACATGTAGACGGTGGGTAGACGGTGGACACATGTAGACGGTGGACACATGTAGAGGGTGGCTAGACGGTGGACACATGTAGACGGTGGCTAGACGGTGGACACATGTAGACGGTGGACACATGTAGACGGTGGACACATGTAGACGGTGGACACATGTAGACGGTGGACACATGTAGACGGTGGACACATGTAGACGGTGGACACATGTAGACGGTGGACACATGTAGATGGTGGGTAGTCGGTGGACACATGTAGGCGGTGGACACATGTAGACGGTGGACACATGTAGATGGTGGACACATGTAGACGGTGGGTAGACGGTGGACACATGTAGACGGTGGACACATGTAGACGGTGGACACATGTAGACGGTGGACACCTGTAGACGGTGGACACATTTAGACGGTGGACACATGTAGACGGTGGACACATGTAGACGGTGGACACATGTAGACGGTGGCCACATGTAGACGGTGGACACATGTAGACGGTGGGTAGACGGTGGACACATGTAGACGGTGGACACATGTAGACGGTGGACACATGTAGACGGTGGGTAGACGGTGGACACATGTAGACGGTGGACACATGTAGACGGTGGACACATGTAGACGGTGGACACATGTAGACGGTGGACACATGTAGACGGTGGACACATGTAGACGGTGGGTAGATGGTGGACACATGTAGACGGTGGACACATGTAGACGGTGGACACATGTAGACGGTGGACACATGTAGACGGTGGACACATGTAGACGGTGGACACATGTAGACGGTGGACACATGTAGACGGTGGACACATGTAGACGGTGGACACATGTAGACGGTGGACACATGTAGACGATGGACACATGTAGACGGTAGACACATGTAGACGGTGGCTAGACGGTGGACACATGTAGACGGTGGACACATGTAGATGATGGCTAGACGGTGGACACATGTAGAGGGTGGCTAGACGGTGGACACATGTAGACGGTGGCTAGACGGTGGACACATGTAGACGGTGGACACATGTAGAGGGTGGCTAGACGGTGGACACATGTAGACGGTGGGTAGACGGTGGACACATGTAGACGGTGGACACATGTAGACGGTGGACACATGTAGACGGTGGACACATGTAGACGGTGGGTAGATGGTGGACACATGTAGACGGTGGACACATGTAGACGGTGGACACATGTAGACGGTGGACACATGTAGACGGTGGACACATGTAGACGGTGGACACATGTAGACGGTGGACACATGTAGACGGTGGACACATGTAGACGGTGGACACATGTAGACGGTGGACACATGTAGACGATGGACACATGTAGACGGTAGACACATGTAGACGGTGGCTAGACGGTGGACACATGTAGACGGTGGACACATGTAGATGATGGCTAGACGGTGGACACATGTAGAGGGTGGCTAGACGGTGGACACATGTAGACGGTGGCTAGACGGTGGACACATGTAGACGGTGGACACATGTAGACGGTGGACACATGTAGAGGGTGGCTAGACGGTGGACACATGTAGACGGTGGACACATGTAGACGGTGGACACATGTAGAGGGTGGCTAGACGGTGGACACATGTAGACGGTGG